CTAATAACAGGTAAGAGGTGATATCTCATTGTTGTTTTGCTTTGCCTTTCCCCAGAGACTAAGATACAGAGCATCTTTTCATGGGTCTGTGGCCATCTGTAGGTCTCCTGTGGAAAAATGTATTCAGATCTTCTGCCCATTTTTTAATCAGATTGCTCCCTGGTTTTGTTTTTGTTTTGTTTTTTGCTATTGAGTTACAAGAGTTCTTTACATATTTTGGATATTGGCCTTTACCAGATATGTGATTTGTGATTATTTTCTTGCATTCGGCAGGATGACTTTTCATTTTGTTCATGGTTTCCTTTACCGTACAGAGGCTTTTGAGTATGATGTGTCCCGACTGCTTATTCTTGCTTTTGTTGCTTTCACTTTGGGGGTCAGATTCAAAACCTCATAGCCAAGACCTATGTCAATAAGTCTATGTTTTCTTGCATGGGCTTTAATATCTCAGGTCTTATATTCAAAGCTTGAATCCATTTAGAGTTCATTTTTTGTGTATCGTGTCAGATATCAGTCCAGTTTTTCTTTGGTATGAATTTTCCCAACACTGTTTATTGAAGAAAATGTTCTTTCCAAATTATATATTCTCGTATGTTCCTCTTGTATATCTTTTGTTGTCAGCTAACTGGCCGTGGATGTGTGGGGTTATTTCTGGGCTCTCTATCCTGTTCCATTCATCTGTGTCTGTTTTTATAACAATACCATATTGTTTTAATTCCTAGAGCTTTTGCACTATAGTTTGAAATCAGGGCACACGATCCCTCCAGTTTTATTCTTTCTCATGACTGGCCTATTTGGGGGTCTTTTGTACTTCCATATGTATTTTAGAATTCTTTGTTCTATTTCCCTGAAGATACCACCGCAGTTTTGATAGGGATTGCACTTAATCCATATACTGCTCTGGGCTGTATGGGCATTTTAACAATATTAATTCTTTTAATCTATGAGCACCAAATATTTCTCCATTTATTTGTAATTTCTTTAATTCACTTCATTAATGCCTTAGTGTTCAATATACAGGTCTTTTACCTCCTCGGTTAAATTTATTCCTAGGTATTTTATTCTTCTTGTTTCAATTGTAAATGGGCTGGTTTTTCTTATCTTCTTTTTCTGATAGTTTGTTATCAGTGTAATGAAAAACAACAGATTTTTGTGCAGTGGCTTAAATAAAGTGGTGAGGATAGACATTCTTGTCTTGTTTCTCATCTTAAGGGAAAGCTTTCAGCTTTTCACAACTGAGTAATAGTGTTAGCTGTGAGCTTGTCATATATGGCTTTTACTCCTTTACTGTGCTGAGGTATGTTCTTTCTCTACCTACATTTTGTTAAGTTTTGTTTGTTTGTTTTTTTAATCAAAAATGGATGTTGAATTTGGTCAAACACTTTTCCTATATCGACCAAGACGATCATACAATTTTTATCGTTCATTTTGTTAACGTGTAGTACACTGACTGCCTTGTCATATTTGCAAGTCGCGTCCGCACCCCTGGAATAAATCCGACTTGGTCACGCTGTATGATCTTCCCAGTGCACTGGTGAATTCAGTCTGCTGGGATTTTGTTGAGGCTTTTTGCATCAATGTTCATCTAGGATCCTAGCCTGTAATTTTCTTTACATGGCATCCCCATCTGGTTTTCGTGTCAGGGTAATGCTGGCCTCACATACTGTGTTTGGAAGAGCTTCCCCTTCTTCTATTTTTGGAAGGGTTTAAGATGGATTGACATTGATCCTTCTTTGAATGTTTGGTAGAACTCATAATGACACTGCCTGATCCTAGACTTTTGTTGTTGAGAGGCTTCTGAATCGTGATCCAGTCTCCTTGCTAGTAACAGGTCTAATAATCAGATTTTCTATTTCATCATGATTCAGTCTTGGTTGGCTGTATGTGTCCAGAAATTTATCCATCTCTTCCAGGCTATCTGATTTGTTGGTATATTACTGTCCTTAGTAGTCTTTTATGATCCTTTGTATTTCTATAGTATTGGCTGTACATCTCTTCCATTTCCAATTTTGTTTGAGTCCTCTCTCTCTCGGTGAGCCTAGCTAAAGTTTTGTCCACTATTTACGTTTCAAAGGACCAGCTCTTCATCTCATTGATCTCTTCTAAAATCTTTATAGTGCCTACATCATTTCTTTCTGTTCTAATCTTTGCTATCGCCTTCCTTCTACCAACTTTGGGCTGCATTTCCTCTTCTCTTTCCAGCTCCTTGAGATGCAAAGGTAGGCTGAGTGTGTAAGACTTCTCTTGCTTCTCGAGGTAGGAGTTTGTCTGAACCTCCCTCTCAGAACTGCTTCTGCCACATGCAATGAATGTTGATGTGTCGCTGCTCTGTGTTCATTTGTCTCCAGGCATTTCATGCTGTCTCTTTTGATTTCTTCAGTAGCATGTTGTTTAATGTGCACATATTTGTGAATTTTCCAGTTTTATTCGTGTAATAAACTTCACCTTTCTTAATCCACAAGACTGTGCAGGCGTCATCCTGCACCAAAGTACCAAAAAGTTCTGAAATAAATACTGTCCTTCCCCTAAAATGCAGAAATGAGGCAGTCGCTTTTTTTAAAAAAGCAATTTTTTCTTTCTAATATATCCTGCCCTTTGTAAAATCTTTACAGTCCCTGCAAGAATTCCAAGTCCACGGTTTCTCTCTCCAGGAGGTGAGCGATGAAACGGGGGGAGGGTGACCTTCATGCGGCCGAGGCCGGCAGGTGCCTCTCCAGAGCGGCTGCTGAGGGTCCTGGCGCCCCCCAGCCAGAGGCCCCGACCTCCGCCAACCATGTGCGCTTCCTGCTGGGAAAGCCCGGGGATTTAGAGGCCATCTGGGGATTTCAGGGTTCACAAGAACAACAGTTAAAGGTAGGCTGTGTGGCGTTATCTACTATGTAAACGAACCTTCTCTGTTGTGAGGAACCAATTTACAGAAAAACCTGCAGGATCAAAGCCTCCTCGCAAATTGCGCTGAAAACCGTGATTAATGCAAAAGTACAGCTTTGTCGGGATTCCTCTGATCGTTGTTGCTGCGCTTTTAAATAATCTTCCGGCAAATCTGCAGCGGGCTTCTTCCTGAACCACAGCACCGGAGAAAACCATTCAAGTGCTTCTCCGACCCACAGTGGCAGAACAGATGAGCACTAAACACAGCTTTCCAGCCTCCACGAAAGTATAAAATACGTCTTCCAAGGGACCCGAGGGGAAGAGAAGAAGCTGCTAAGGATGTGTAATTCACATCTACCCCAAATCCTATTTCCAAAACTGAAGGAGACCAGGGGCAGCTGGGAAGCTGCGGGTGGGGAGACCCAGCCGTCTCGCAAAGATCTCGGCATGCGGTTAAGAGTAAGCGCACAGGCGTGCTGATGCTCAGGGGCACATGGACCCCAACGTTCACAGCAGCACTCTCAACAATAGCAAAACCATGGAAAGAGCCTAACTGTCCACCAACTGACGAATGGATCAAGAAGATGTGGTTTATCTATACAATGGAATACTACTTGGCAATGAGAAAGAATGAAATCCGGCCATTTGCAGCAACATGGATGGAACCGGAGGGTGTTATGCTGAGTGAAATAAGTCGGCAGAGAAGGGCAGATACCATATGTTTTCAGTCGTATGTGGAACTTGAGAAACTTAACAGAAGACCATGGGGGAGGGGAAGGGGTAAAAGTTACAGAAAGGGAGGGAGGCAAACCACAAGAGACTCTTAAAGACTGAGAACAAACTGAGGGTTGATGGGGGTTGGGGAGAGGGGAAGGGAGGTGACGGGCATGGAGGAGGGCACTTGTTGGGATGAGCAAAGGGTATTGTATTGAAGCCAATTTGACAATAAATTATATTTTAAAAAATAGTAACTGCAGTACGGAAGCAGGAAACAGTATTTAGAACAGACAGGTTGCAAAGTAGCTAAATATACTGAGTCAAATGCAGTATTATTGGAAGAACTGTGAAAAGACTTCATCGTATGGAAACCAGGTAATAACCATTAGATCCACTGTCGAAAATCAGATTCGATCATGGAATAGAACGGAGTTTATAATTTGTATGACTCCATTTTATAACATCCTCCAACAACCCCGCAAACCAAGTGCCTTTCGGGGGGAGATGATCACTGTCCTGCTTTCTCCAGCGAGTGGGCCAGCACGGGGAGCGGCAGAGCACGCACAGGGACGCGGTAACAGCGCGGAAACGCACACCACCCGTCACATCCTGAGCAAAGTATGCTTTCCCTACACAGTCAGTGAGATCACCTGCCCAGCTCGTGTGAGGCTCTTTACAAAAGAGCACTGCCCGCTCCGTACCTCCCCGCTGGGCGGCCAGTGCCACAAGTCCACGCCTGTTTCTGTTGGTATCGCTTTGCTAACACTCTGCTCATCCGTGTACCAGACTATCAGGAGAATATGCTCGAAACAGGCAGGCATTATCTCCCAGCCTCCATTTAATTAAAGTCTGTTCCTGCCGTGTGACACTCAGCACATCATAGGGGAAATTATCCTAAGAATGAAGGTAAAAAGTATTTCAAAGCCCCCACTTAAATATGAAAACATAATCTAAAACGGCCGAGCACACACTGTAATTTTTCTATAATATTAAAGATGTTACTTGCAGAGTAGGTAATTAATTGGATTCCGTGGAGAAATTACGCCAGCGTCCTTGATCGCAGAATGATGCACCAAGCAGGGAACAGAGTGCCAGAAGACAGCCATAAACAACAGTGCTGTCGCCCAGATTATGACAATCATCAGGCTTCATAAGGAGTGAGATCTGCCTGCTACTGGCACGCACTATTCCCAGCAAAGTGCCTGCGCTGAATTCTGATGATGTCGCCTACATCGCAGGAAGGGAGCGGCTCCAGCTCCAGCAGCCGGCCCCAAAGGTGCCCGGCCCCGCCCTGGGGAGGCCAGGGCCCACGGGCTGAGTGAGGGCGGCATCGCCCAGGCCGGGCCCCGAGCCTCACGCCACCTCCTCCCCGGCGGCCCTCAGGGAGGTGGGTGCTCGGGCAGCGGGCTTACCGTCAATCCGGCTCACCAGCTCTTCCAACATCTTCACCTTCATCTGAATCCCAGGCTGGGCAAAGGTGTAGTTGTCCTAAGGGAAAGACGACAACGGGTATCATATGGGTAGAAAATGAAATACACGCTCCAAAGCGGGAAACAGCAGCGGAACAAAGGTGAGCAGCTCAGCAGCAGGATGAGTTCCCCAGCTAGACCCACGCGTCACATATCAGGCGCGTCCCACCACCAACACGCAGCGCAATCCGGTCTGAGGTCGGGTCCAGCCCCTCCTGAGGTCAGAGGGTGAGCGCGCCCACTCGGGGGGGTACTTACTGGAGCATCTCTTTATGTAAGTGCAGGTGTTTACTTTGGGGGTGCCTGGGTGGCTCAGTCGGTTGAGCGTCCGACTTCGGCTCAGGTCATGATCTCACAGCTCCTGGGTTCGAACCCCACATCGGGCTCTGTGCTGACAGCTCAGAGCCTGGAGCTGCTTCGGATTCTGTGTCTCCCTCTCTCTGCCCCTCCCCTGCTCGCTCGCTCTCTCTCTCTCTCTCAAAAATAAATAAATAACTGTTAAAAACAATTTTTTTAAGTGAACACACAGGCTCACTGAGAAGCGCGTGCTGGGAGCCGCTGCCTGGCCGGTGCATGGGCAGCTCGGACTCGGTGTAGCTGAAGAGCAGATGCGGAACGGTGACTGGGCCGGTGCTGGTGGGGCCGGTGTCATGCCCACGGTCCACGGCCAACGACACGGCCGCTGCAGGGCAAAGCGTGAGCTGGCAGCCGCGGTCAGTGAGGCTGGGTGAAGGGGGTGGCAAACAAAGGCGGGAGAGCGAGTAAAGGCATCGAGCGGGACAAGGCCGCAGTCAGACAGGCCTGGAGAGGGGGCCCCGCTCCTCCTCTCAGCAGCCGCGCGGCCCCGCCTCCCGTGTTGCCATCTATACATGAGAATAATGCTGCCTTCCTGACCAGGAAACCGGGTCAGGGGAGACGCCGGAGGGTCCAAGGCACCAGGGACGCGAGAAACAAGGACGGGGCCCCAGCCCGCCTCCAGTCACCCTCAGAAGAGCCGCGGGGCTCCCGCAGGCGCGGGCGCTCGCACGGGGTAACACACGCGAGGCAGGCAGCCGGGCACGGAGGTGTAGACCCGCTGACCGCGAGGAACTCTCCGGACTGCACGGGGCCCGCTGGTCCCAGGGCCCTGGCAAGTAGAAGGGGAGGAGAGCTCGGGAGCGTGAGCAGGGCTCGAGCCGCCGTGGCAGCTCTGAAGGCGGAGGAAGGGCCGGAGTCAAGGGCAAGCTTCTGAGTTCTCCCTGGAGCCTCCGCGAACGATGCAGCCTGGCCCACACCTAGATTCTGCCCCAAGAGACACGCATCAGAAGCCGGGCCCCTAGAACTGCGAGGTAATAAATAATCATGCTGTTTTCAGCCACTAGGCCTGCGGTGATTTGTTACGGCAACAACAGGAAGAGGAGACGGGAGTTTTGGAGGAGGCCCCCCATCCCCCAGGACCCACTGAAATAAAAGGACGAAGGGCGGGCGCCTCGGGACTCAGCTGGTTAAGCGTCTGACTCTTGATTTCGCCTGAGGTCATGATCCCAGGGTCCTGAGTTCCAGCCCCACACTGGGATTCTCATTCTCTCCCTCTGCCCCTCTCCCTGCTCACGCTCTCTCTGCCTACAGGGCACAGGGGATTTTTTCCACAGTCATGGAAAACAGGCACAGTCGGCCCCGACCTCTCACCAGGCGATTCCCCCAAGTGGATTCCGAGTGACAGGCTCTGGGCTCCAAGCTGGGCATCTCTGCAAGGCCAAGACCAAGAAGAGCTGTGTGCACTGACCGCACCCGGAGCGACAGCGGGGCGCGAAACATGGGCGCCCCCGCGGGGGGCCCCATGGGGACCCGGCATGACCGTCCCCCAGATCTGGCGACAGGCCTGCACGTCCTGCCAAACCCCGAGCGCTGGAGAGGCGAGGCCAGGCAGGGACTCCTGGCCTGAAGGAGCCGTGCACCCAACACAGCAGCACACGGTAAGGACAAACCGTGAGCTGTAATGTATCTGAACTTTAACAGGGAAGAGAAATTTGGGGCTTGGACTTGAGCTTGCAAGGGTTAGCCTCTGAGGCTTAATTTCTCCCTGGAAACTGGATAACAGAAGGAGATTTATATTGAAATTTGGAGCGCACTGCCTCATTGGAAGTTTATACACTGTCATTTCACTGCAAGGCAGAATTTCTGATGAGCCGGGTCGAACGAGACACCTGGATGTGATTCAGGATGAGGAAGAAACTGCAGACTCTGAAGCCTAGCAGATTATTCCATGAATGCTCAGTGCTAACAAATTCCCGAGCCATCAAGGACACATTCTAACACCCTCCCCCAGGGGTCCCAGGAGAACAGTCAAAGATGCAGGGGCTTCACTGTGAGCTGGCCCGTCCTCGGCCAAGGGCCTCCCCCTCCTCCAAACTGGCCCGTCCTCGTGGGCCCTGGGCCTCCCCCCTCCCCCTCCCCCCAGAAGGGATTCAGCTGGCGCGGGCCCTGCACCTTCTCTGTCCCCAGGACACTCTCCACAAAGAGGCAACTTCTCAACGCTAAACCCAGCAGAGCAGACAGCCTGTGGGCTCAGCCCTCCTTCCACGGCTCAGAGCCAGCTAATGCCCCAGAAAGGCTGCTCCCCAGGAAAGCTCTCCACTCGGTGCCCCGGGCAGGCTCTGCCCTGCCCCGGCACTGGCTCCAACGGGGTGGGTAAGCCTGAGTAATCCGGGGATTCACTCAGCCAGTTTATTTGGCTCTCACACTGAAATAGGATTTCAAGATTCTCATTTAGAAGAAATAAAGTTATTCTTCAGTCTCCATCTGCCACTATTTTGTTTTATTTCTCAATTTGTTCAAAAACCAGGTAGGGAAGACAGGTTTTCTTGGAAATCCAAACAATGTGAAGAGAAGAACACCTGAGAGCCTTTGAAATTAAAAAAAAAAAAAAATCTGTATTTTGAAAGGACCAGAAATGACTGATGGGCAGGGTGTGGCCTTGGTATTCTGGATTTGGGTCACAGGCAGAGGAGACAGGCCCTCAGACAGGCTCCGACCAGAGGACAAGATGGAGCTCAGGGCCAGCGACCAGCGGAAGGGCCCAGAGGCCAAGGACAAGGTGCACAGGGAGGGGAACGTAACCCCAGCAACAGCCTTCCGGGAGGCACGCGGTGCTCACGCCCTCCCAGGGGGTGCCTGCGGCCCCCCAGACCTCGCCAGAGCGGCGCCTGGGATCAGACCGCAGGTTCCACTTGCTCGAGGCCAGGACCCCCCTTACCCCCCCAGCACCGGCCCCAACAAGCATCCGCACACACACTTGGCGCAGACACACCTGCTGGATGAAGCTGTGAAGATATTACATATTTACAGAAATACTAACAGGAAAAATACCATTCCCTTCACAAAAAGTAAACATTCATACCCTTTCAAATTGAGATTTGATTTTATGTCCTTCAGAAAGAATACAACCCACAAACCTACTGGCCGGAGGAAGGAAGATCTAAGGACTACAGTGACCCCTTGGGGAGGGTTTTCCAGGAGGTCAAGTCTGTGTTTGCAGGAAACCATCGAAGCGCACACGACGGGCCTCACACCTGCTACCTTTCCAGCTCGCGCTCCGGCGACAGCCAACAGCACTTCCTGGGCTCTTCAGGAGGAAAGTGGAGTAACGTGTTCCGAAGGAGCAGTTCAGAGAAGAGCTGAGAATTAAATCCTCAGGGGCTCAGCTGGAAGGAGCCAGGCACCCGCCTACTGAGGCACGGGGGGCACTAGGGACCTGCCTGCGCCTGCCGGGCGCTGTGCCGGGGACCAGAGACCCCTCCTGGCCCGCCTCCCAAAGGCCACTTCTTTCTTATGCTGAAACCTCCTCACACCTCTGTACCTGTACCCCAGACCTGCTTCCGGAACAAGTCAGCAAGCCCTTTCCCCAGACAAGGGCCTGAAAGACTTGTGTGGCCTTCACCTCTCGCGGGCGCCCCCAGGCCATCTGGCACAGCCCTGGACAAAGTGTCCCACGGGGGTCCTGGCAGCACACAGGTGAGACCACAAGTGAGGCAGCCGCAGCCTCGCTCAGCGCGCGCCCACCAGAATGTCCCCGCAGTTACCGCAAGGCATGCAGCGTCCGATACGTGGTGCCACGGTGTTGGACTGTGTGCTCCCTCATCGCCCAGGGACCTCCCGTGGGCCAGGCGACACGCCGAGTCCCGGCAGAGACGGGACTGCCGTCCTCAGGCAGGCTTGTGTGCCAGGACGGCCCTCCCTCGGCTGGTGCCTAAGGCCCCGGGTTTCCGCAGTGTGCCCGTCATTCCCTAACAAGGAAGGCAGGCTCAGGGCACCTCAAATGACAGTGCAGCTTATGCTGAACTCCTTCCGAAATGTGGAATTCTGGGAGGTGCCAGGCAGAGGGTGTCCGGGTGACAAGTTCTCCACAGAATCCGGGCACGGGGTCCCTGACAAGCCGCCTGGTGGACATGTCACACCTGTTGTCAGGACTCACTGCCGGGGGCGCTGACCTCCAGCAGGGAGGGGCCACGGGAAGCTCACGCCTGCTTTCCTCCGGGCCTCCCCCTGCGTGGCGGGCTCTGCTCCGCATGCCTGCCCTGGAAAAAAGCCTGGCCCTGAGCACTGCGTACTGAGTCCTGGGAGGCACTGAACCTCGGGGCGGTCTTCGGGTACCCTAACACAGTCGGGGAGCAGAATGGGCCCTTCTGTTCACAGGGAGAAGAGTTAAGCAAATGTCCATCACAGGGGCCACACAAGTGCGTACGGACGGCTCACTGTGGCCCAGGGATCCCCGCCTGCCATCCGAGGACCGGGAGCCTCACCTGGAGGCCACACTGACGACAACCTGAGGCCTGAGCAGAGATGCAGAAAGAAGGGAGCAGGGCACAGGACGGTCCTGTTAGCGGCCGAGAGCAGGGAACCTCCCAGGAAGGGACTGAGGGTCAGTACATCTGGGGGGCAGCGGGGAGGCCGGGGCAAGGCTGGGAGGCCACGTGGGAGCAGAGCTGGGGAATGAAGTGAGCGACCCGGAGACGGGGAGGCGCCGTGGTGACCACATCT